AAAATTCTCAAGGCACCATCAAAACCCGAACTAAGGCACTTCGCGATAATTTTTCTGTTTTATAACCCCGGGTTGCGGTCCCCGAAATCCCCAACTATACCCTTAATTTAATGTCGTCGTTAGTGTGCTTCCACGTAGAAATAATTGCTAATCAGAATAATTTAGGATAAAAACAAGCTTCCTGATAGTCTTCCGACTACTGTACAGAAGCCATTGACAGAATCATGCTCAAACCTGCGGCAACAACGAACGTGACGATCCAAAGAGGAAGTGAACCGTGACGAGAAAAACGAACGAAGGGTGGTCGACGCTTCGTTTCAATCAAGGCCGTACGCATGGCTTTCAATCCATCAGTGATTTTGGAAATAAACTAAAAATTGAAGAAAAAAAAATCAGTGGTTGGCAGTACAGGAAATTGAAGGTAGAAATCAACTCGTCCCCTCAGACCGGATTCAATAGCCGGCGGTTGAGCAAATAATAGGGGATCAAATGAAGGGAATGAGTGATGGAAAATTGATTGACTTTCCAGGATTTTTTCAGTCCCTGTTATTTGCCAGGTGGTTTGTTCGCGAGGCTTCGGTGGGATCGTTGCTATGCAAATTAATTCGTTCATTATATTCCCCGGAATGATCAGTGGAATTAACCGATTGAATAGAGCGATGGAATCTTTTAAAATATTGTCAGCTTTGTAAAAAAAAAAAGAATCTTGCTTAATAGCTGATTATTCTCTTTTATTACACTAGTTCAGCTTTTCGTAAAACCACTGGATTAAAAATTGATGGGACGTATCTGATCCATAGGAAAACGTCACGAAAACGATCATCAATGGTCCTTCAATTTAAAACAGGAATGTGTAAAAAAAATCTTGTTTATTATGACTATGCAATGCCTTTTTGCCTGTTATTTTGTATAAAAAACGTAAGTCAAATTGGAACTTTAAGGACAGAACACTTGATGTGAACGATTTCGTTTCTGTAAAGCTCTTACACACGGAATTTTCTTATATAAGCGTCAGGATTGAGTTGACTTAATAAGGAGATCTAAGTTATATTTGGTAATTTTAGTGTAATGGTCAATGAGTGCTTTTTTTCTTATGCATTGAATCAGAGAAAAATTTTTCCCGTTTCATGGAAAACTCAGATTCAAGAAAGTCCAATGCATCGAAAATTCCCCATATTTTTCGAACAGACTAAAATCTGATGATAGTACGAGCATTATTTGGTGAAACCAGCTCGAAGGTCAATTATTTCCTCGGAAACTTTCTGTACTTGTATAAATGAAACGTCCGTCGCAATTTTTAAAAGCGAAGGAAGCGCGTCACATTCAATCAACGATTTTACTGAAGAATATGGTTTTAATCATCACGAGAATGAATTGAGGAAAACTTGACAGGAAGATTTTCACGTCCGCGACGCAAATTACAGTAAATTGAAAGTAAACATTATTTTGCCTTGTTAAACCAGGATTTATGACATTTTTTCCGCTTGCTAGTTTGTTGTTGGGGAAAGAAATACTGTACTTCTCGTTTTCACCCAGACATCACCTTGAAGACGTTCAGTACTAGTCTGTGAAGGCCTTTCCCTGGCCTCAGGGCTTCAACTCTTCCTTCATAACTATTTTCCGGGATTTTCACATTCATCTCTGCTGTTTCATTTTTCAGAAATGATTTGGTACTTTATTTTTTTCATGTAAATCTTTCTCTGAATTGCTTTTCCAGCTTAAGTTGTGGACACAGGAGTCCAAAAACAACATTGAACACCCTTAGTACCACCATTTTTCATTGTCAATTTTGCGGGCCAAGTGAAAAGGTGCCATAAAAATCACGAGTGGCGCTTTTACCACACGTGGTATGCTTCGAAAACGAAATCAAAAATTTCCGCGCATCCATGTTGAGCAGCATAGATGGAAAAGACTTCTCGCTCATTTAATTTTTTGCTTTTCTACCGGAATAAAGGGAAAAAAGAAATCGTATGCTGATGACCCAGAATAACATGACAGACCGCGTGATGTCGCACTTCCCGTTTTGCTGACGTGGATGCGGTTGAAATCGACATGGGATTCGACAGCGGAATCCCACCAGTGAACCGGGCTGACGATCGATTCGAGTGCTGAATTTTGATGACGAGAATAAGAGATTCGCTGTGATTGGTGTGCAAAATGACGGGCTATTCTGCGTTGGTGTCCACGGCGGCGGCGCCGAAAAAGTCCGCCGTTTCCGTCCGGCGCCTCATTTGCGTAAACGCCGTTGTTTGCGGACTGGAGCTGTGTGCGTTACGACCCAAACGCATGTAAGGCGGCTAGGACGAGTTTCGGCCGAAGAGCCTTTGACAGTACTCAATGTAGTACCCGTATCCATACAACTTTACCCCAGACCTCTTTTGCGGCCGTGCCTTTTTTATTTTATGTGGACACATGAGAGAAAAATGACCGAGCTAAATATGTCGGGGAGATGATGCAAAATTAAATGGAAAATTCGTTGGGAAGTTACCCTCAGGTGATGTCAACATAAAGAAGTAAAACTCAAAATGTAGTTAGGGAAAGAATTTATATTTAACAATATGCTTGGGAAGTGCGAGTAGAAGTTGTATTCCTGATAGTTGCGCCTCGTTTCATTTTACTGCGTCATGATGATGACCGTGCCATGAATTTAAGGGAATATTCATTCCAAATTGTGAAATTATCTTTTGTCCTCGGAAAATCTGTGAATTAATTTCTGTCAACATTTTTTCTGCTATTTTAAATTCGATTGCTTCGTTTTGCAAAAAAAAATCATCAACTCGGGGATAACCTGGAGAACCATAGATTTTTGTGTCTTGCGAAAAATTCGTTAAACAAAGAACATCTTTGTAGACAACATGGTTGTATAGAGAGTCCACTCATGCAATAGCGGTTGATTCCGTAAATTTTCAACGGATTCAGTTCCATTTTCACAATGAGTGAAAAATAATTAGTACTCTTTCACATACGGTATGCAGAAAATACGCGATCCATGGAGGTCGTGCTGAGAGTACACCTTTATATGAGCGACATCTAGGAGAGCGTATACTAAAAGAATTACTGGAGACTGGGCGTTGAATCAACAGACCTCGTCTACATCGGATTTTACTGATGCGGGATTATTCTTGCAGGACCTGTGATAGCATTGATCACTGTTCCTGGGATCGGATCGTGGTCGGACCAGACGAGATGTTCTTGGGGCAGACGACGCCCGTTTATTTTGAAGGACTTAAACTATTACAACTCAAGCAACCACGACTAGGGAAACCCAGTGAAGGCACGGCAAGGACCACTAGGAAGCTCCGACCGCCCTCAAAGTCTACGGAGCCGACCCGTAACCAGGTTAAGCGAGGCTTTCAGGTACAGTAATTCGTTACGTGCGCTGAAACAAAGTTCATACTTGAGAGAATATGGGACTCTTGTGCAAATCATTTAAATTTTTGTGCCAATTTCGAAACGAACAAAGTAAAAGGAAACTGAAGCGATCGCGAAACCAAGAAAGAAAGTTCACTTGTTCTCCCAAGCATACGATTTCCAGTTGCCGACGGCCGACGTATTTTTGTGTGGTAAAAATGAAGAAATTGATTAACGACGCGTATTTAAGAGAAAAACGGACTCTCATGTCAACAATCTTTATCTTCTCGTCCGTCTGGAAATAAAAAAAAAATTAAAAAGGGAATCTGAAGCGATCACAAAACGGAAGAATAAATTTTTCCGTCATAGAAGCATACGATTTTCAGTTCCTCATGCATTAATTTTTCTAGAAACGACGCAATTAACGAGGCATATTTGAGAGAATAAGGGACTATCATGCAAAGGTATAATAAAAGCAATGTACAGGCAAAGTTTAACTTATTAATATTTTCTCTTTCTTTCACTTATGTTTTTTTCTTCTTCTTTTATTACAAGAGAGTTCGTATGCTAAAAGTCCACTAAATCTTTTTCTTTTCCTTTGTAAGATCGGCGCAATTAATTATTGGACTTCACCATACCCATCAGCTGACACATTCAAAATTCCCCCCCTGCGATTTTAGCTCATTCAGGGAATAACAATATCCGTTCCATTTCCGCTCGCCTTTTGACCTGTAAATACATTGTATAACAAGGTCGTTCAGGTTTTAATTAAGACAAGTAATTAATTCATAAATTTTTGGGGTCTCGGATGAATGACGCATTCAACAGTGCAACTAATCGCATCTCTGTGTGCTCTCTAAAATAAAATATTGTACAGGCACACCTTTCTTTGTGAGGCCACCATTTCTTTGTGAGGTTTGTGGCGGTTTCATGGGGTTCGTCGTGGTTTGACAAGAAAAACTTAAAGAATATTAAAAAATAGGTAGAATAGCAAATGAAATGTCCATTATTTAAAAAATAAATCAAAATACCCTGGAATGCTTAAATTATGGCTTGCTAATGTTCTCAAGAAGTAAATTATGTCATCTTTGTGTTTTTTTCATTTATCTTTCAGCTATCATTTTATTGACAAAGGACAGATAATAGCAGTAAAAATTTAATTTGATGTGTTTTGAAAGAAAATGAGAGACTAATGGGGCGAATGAACCCTTGTCTCCAAGTTCATGATCCTGTCAACTCATTTAAGAAGAAATTTGAGGCCTACTTCACCACCAATCTCAATTTCCGATGATGTTTCCTTCTTTTCTCCAACAGAAATGCTTTTTTCCCAAAGTCGAAACCTCCTCAAGTCCCCTGCTTGCTTATTCTAATCAGCACGTGAAATTAATCAACAGGAACTATATATGTTTGTAATGCGTTTAAAAAGCGCACCTCAAGAATAATTATAATAATTTACCTGGATTTTTCAAAAGGGCGGCACAAAAATAAAATTTCAGACAGTCTTCATTTGTACAATATTTTTAAATTGCGATGTATTTGGTTTTTAAGAGTTCCTTGAAGTTCGACTCTGAAAGAGGTTCGCCAACATTTTAAACAGGAAATAAAAATAAATAATTGTCGCGATTTTTATTATACAGATATATTAAAAAATGAAAATTTCTTGGCACCACGAGCGCCAGCCGCACCACGACAACCTGATACGCAGGGTCCGGACGAAGTTAGGGACGCTCCGGGACGAGTGCCTGCAGTACTTCCTGCTGAGGTACGTGGAACGCGGCTTCGTCGTCTACTCGGCCATGCTCAGCCTCGGCGCCTGTCTCGGCACTCTCACGACGGCGGTCGACTGGACAGCCTTCGCAGTTGCCTGCGGCGTCGACGTGTCCACGCTCATCTTCTGCCTCCTGTTTGCCTGCAGCGCCCTGTGTCTGGTCGTGACGCTGGCGGCGGCGCAGGAAGTGCCGCTGCGGTCCAAAGACCGAGAGAGGGAGCGGGAGCGGGCAGTGGACGTGGCGCGGCGTTGGGCGGTGAGCGGCGTGTGCGCCGTGTGTCGGATACCGGTGATGGTTGGTAGGGCGCTGATGCACCGCGCCAGACGCGGCGGGGTGCTCGGGCTCGCGCTGTGCCTGCTTGCCGGCTTGCTCACATTGCTTCTAGAGGTATTCTGATGCGCCACTTTCTCATTGAACCAACCATTTTGTTTCTCACTTGCAATATGGAAGAAAAAAAAGAAGATCGGTTAGGAACAACAAAAAGTACTTTCCTGGTATCTCAATAGTCAATACCCATTTTTCTTTGTCTCGTGAATTCAATATTCAATATTAGGTTTGGTTAGGTCAGGTTATGTTAATTGAAAGATATTTGTAACTAACATAACCTGACCTAACCTAACTTGACCTAACCACCTCCCAAAACCAGTTTCAGCAGAATGCAGAAAAATAAAATTCACAGTTTCTGGTAGGTGCATGGAAAGTAGGTACTGAGATAACAGGAAAGTACCCAACAAAATGTAAAATAAAAAAATTGTTAAAAGGTCAAATTCTGAGACAGCGGGATGCTCTTGAAATGTATGACTTTGACGTGCATGCAAAATGTTGACCTTTATTTTGATAAAAAAAGACTTCTTCATATTAGTGATAAGGATATCCGTTTCAAATTTTACCTTTAGTTATAAAGCTCTTTAATTTAAACTTCCTATCGAGCTTTTAGAAGTGAACCTCTCAAAAACTATCCCTTAAACGCTTAACTTGGTCAGGTTAAAAAAAATTGGAAATAAACTTCTGGCCAAACTTTTCCAAAGTGCTGATTATTCATAAATATTCAGATTTGTACCTCACTTTTTGGATTAAATTATTATTATTTCATCCTTATTATTGCAATGTGAAACAAATGGCCAAATTGAGACTACATAAAATTTGTGACTGGACAAATGGAGAAAGAAAATTTGAGACAGGGCCAATTCAAGACAGGGGCGATTTGAGAGTGGGAAAATTCGACAAAAGGACAATTTGAGACAGGGACAATATGAAATCGGGATAAATTGAGACAGCACTATAAAGCAACTGCAGATTCCTGTTGAACAGCATTTCATGAAACTAATTTGAAGTGAAAAATATTACATAACTCATTTCGACGACAAAGAACAGTAAGAAGGACTATTTACGACAAAAATATGACTTTAAAAACCTTACGTGCCAGACGTGGAACTCAGTCAAAGGTGTACGACCTGTAAAGTCAGATAAAAAAGACCTGATCGAAGTGTCTCCATGTAAAATTGTCTTATGCGAAACAAACTAAGCAGAACTTTTCAACAAATTGTACAATTTTTTTTTATTTTCACACCTTAAATGTAAGATTTCGGGGAAAAACATAGTCAAGTCATTTTGCCCCAGACAGTCTCTGTCTCAAAATGTCGCAAATTTTCAAAATTTATTTGTCTTGATTTGTCCGTGTCTCAAAAAGTTTCTGCCTCAAATTGTCCCTGCCTCCAAAAGTATCTGTCTCAATTTGACACTGTCTCAAATTGGCCTAGTCTTAAATTGGCCTTGTCTCAAATTGGCCCAGTCTCAAATTGTCTGTCTGGATTTGTCCTAGATCCCAGAACATGTTTAGGAACACTGCAATGTGAAACTCATGAAAATTGTAAAATTATAATTTTGAAACAGCTACATGCTCTAAAAATGTATAACTCTGATGCTCATGCAATTGACAACAACGGTTGCTTTGATAATTTTCTGAAAAACTTTAATCACTATTCCCTATGCTATGTTTAAAATGGAAATTAATACTTCGTGATTCTCTGTGGTTATTAGGTGATTCTCTGATTGTTGAACTTACTTTTGAGTCATTGAATCGAGCCTCTTATGAACCAATTTTAACCTGAAACAAACCATATTTCTCAGTAGAACTGTAAAGCTAGATTTTCGTGCGCTATCTAGTTTCATATCTGATTTTTATTCACTCTTATTTTATGCTGATTTGACATTTGGTCTTTCAATGCACAATATACTCGAATTTTCAAACAGCTATGTATATGCTCTTAGAAGTTATGCCTTTGACCCGCATGAAAAACTTTGTTTCGATAATTATTGATTGATTATTTGGTAAATCGCGTATCGGAGGATCTCGCGAAGGAGAAAAGCACATCATTATTACGTGATAAAAGGTTAAACTTATTCAATTATCTAATTGAATACATCTAATTGAATTATCTAATTGAATACATTTTTGAAAGTGGGAAGAGCATCAATATTTGAAGAATTCCATGAAACCGAACTGAATATGGCACTTTACTTTCTGACGCATTTCTTCAAACTATGAAAAAAAAAAAACTTGTGCGGATTTTGGACCGCTGTATATCTAGTGGGATTTTCCATTAATGCTGCAAACGAAAGTTTTAATAGTCAGTGCGGAATTCATGAGGAATCTTTCGATTATTTTAATGGAATCAAGTACAGCACAATCAATGAAAAGGTCTTGTATGCAACGTATCAATCGAAAAAAAACATATGATGCTTTTATCAAGATTAAATTTGTTTTATTATTTTTAGAACGAAAGAAAGTGGATACATTTTTTCGAGGTTGATTATGGACAACCACGACATACGGCTTATCACCCAAGTTGGAATAGTTTTCATAGCAGTTTTTCCAGTTTCTGATCAGCATCAATGCGTATTCAATTATTTTAATAGTGTCAACGAGATTTCTGAGTTTATTCTACGATGAAGAATTGATCCTAACAGAGATGCAATGAAACTTTCAGAGAGCGGATGCTTGAGCATCAGATTTTATCTGACTTGGACAGCAATGCGTTCGAGGTATTCTGTGCATCGCAGAGCTACTTGTCTTGACCTTCAGCTCATCCTGTCTATTCTTTGTATGTCACATCATGCCTGAATGAATGATTTTACCACTGAACAGACGCTAAAAAAAAAATCTGACACAAAATCACCAACCATAGCGAGATCAGGACTTCATACGAGACCTCAAATCGAACTTCAGTCCATTGATCTAAGTTCCAAAGGGGAAGAAGACAGTTGAATGAATTATTTTTGTTTCTTTTGTAATGTTCAGAAAGTTCTGAACAAAAGAACACACCAAATATGGTTTTCTTGATGTGGATTGAGATTGTATTCTAGTGTTTTAAATAAAATCATCAAATTGGATATTGAATAATTCGTAATACTCATGGGTGACTAATTAAGTACGAAGAGTATTCAGAAGAAATTTTAAACTTGAATCCGGGCCGAATGCATTGTAAAACAAAACAACCAAAATAAAACGAAACTCAATTAAAAGTATTCAACCCTTCTCAAAAAGTGGGTGAAATATCAAGGCTGATTATTTTTTATGAACCGCAAAATTTACGCATCTTTCTAACTATATACAGTAGTGCCCGCAAAAATTCTGCAGTCATGAAAAATCGCTTACATGCATGGGCCTTGAATTATTACTTTACAGTATTTTAAATGGTTCCGGGACCTAGGTCAGCATGCTCCTGAGGAATGGCATGAAAATTAAAATTAGAAATTTGAATCAAAGCTTTTTTTGGTCTTGATTGCATGCTTGGTTCGCTGAAGAATACCGAAAAAAAAGAAGAAACACATGCAAGCTTCTGCACCTGATGTATGCGTGGAGTTATCATTTTCTGAATCAAAGCTTTTTTTTAGATGTCCTGATGCAGTGAATTTTTTAGAGAAATAAAGAGTAGAAGTTGAAGTGTAGAAAAAGAGACCCCTCTTTATGTGATGTAAAGGGCACGAACTTACGTTTTCTAAGGACGTCTTCGATGTACATAGGTAGTCAAAAGTAGTTCATACTTATTTTTCCTCTTACGTGGGCGAAGGTTGTTCGATGGCCGTTCCAGTTTGTCAAGATGTACCGCAGCAGTCCAGAAGCACTGAGGAGACTTTTCTTGGCTGACCTGGCTTCGTGGACATGCCTCATGGGTCACGGGATTTTCTACACCGATTTCGTGGCTCAAGCCATTTATAAAGGTGCGCCAGATGCTGACGTGGGTTCCGAGGAGGCATCCGGGTACGACGAAGGTGCTCGAATGGGCTCGTGGGGTCTTTGTTTCTTCAGCATCGTGGGTGAGTTTGATGTGACAATAAAATGCCAGTTTCAAATGCGAAGTCTTTCATCCAATTTTTTTTGAATGGTTGTTCGAGAAAGTCATGTTTGCACTATGCAAGAAACTTTCGCGGTGCGGTATTCGTTTTTAGACAAAGTTCTTCTTAAAAAGGCGGGGACTCGAGGATTTTCAATATTTGCGAAATACTGTATAACACAAATCAGTTCCCATATTTAAATTTCTTAATAATTTCGAAAATACGTATGGAAGCTAGTACTGTACCAGGTTTTTTGTGTTTTTTCTCTGACAAAATTGATTTCATGATGATGCCATTACATGTGATGGTCTTGATAGCAAGTGCAAAAAACGAAATAATCATGTTAAGAATTTATTTTTTATAAAGAAAAAAAGAGAGAAATAGCGACTGAGTTATTGACTCAGCATTTTTTCCTCGATTAATTTACACTTCTTGTTTCTTTCTACAGGTTTCATGTATTCCACATTTGCCCAGGAATGGATTGTGGGGAAAGTCGGTGAATTCACCTTAATGTACCCCACGAACTGCTGAGAGCACTAGACGTACCACCCGGTGTAAACCAAGTGAAGGTATTGTCACGACTTGTGGAATAGCCGAGACCGACCCCAGCCTAAGCGGCGACATTCTTCCGTCCCGAACACGCTCATCACCGTTTACCATTCGAACCTCGACGTAAGTCCTGTTATATACGTGCCAAACTTGGCATGCGTTATTTAAAAAAAAAAAAAAACAAACAGCGATGCAATTTTACGTGAAAAAATTGACTGAAAACGTGAGTTTCAGTTGAGCAATGGTCTCCCGACGGCCATTTATGAGGTTTTGTTGGGTATATTGTGGAATATGTTTCAAGTGTAAGAATATATCACCGCGTTAACAGTGACATATTTTAAAAATGCTAAATTTTGCATAGATAAGTGATACACCGTAATTTGGAATCGACGTTTCTTCAGTCGTGAAGCAATGACATCCCGTATGCCATCTATATGAGATTTCTTTGTTTTGTTGAATCTGGTAAAAGTGCAAGTGGAATCTGTCACTGCGTTGACAGTGACATCTTTCAAAAATGCTAAATTTCGTAGAATTTCGTAGCATGCTGTAATTAGGAAATAAATTTTCTTCAGCCGTGAAGTTGGCAAACTTTTAGAATATCGATTTTGTGAAATCAGTTCCTGAAGTGAATTATGGTACGAAAATGGGAAAAAGGGGAATACAATTTGTTTCTTATTTCTAAAGATTTTTGTATGTATTTTTTAATGATGATCTCAAATAAAGAAAGATTTCTGAAATAAGCAAGAAGATGTAGTGTATCGCAGAGAAACCAAACATCTTGAGCATGATTCCTTGATTCTTATGATGTATCATTGCCTGAATAAACACTTGGACGCTGATGATCAAACGTTCGATTGCTTTAAGTCTAGGTGAAGGATGTTCTATTTTTTGAGAGAGTGAGAAAGAGGGAATAACATCTTTTGCGATTTAGAGCAATAAACGCAATTTTTGGGTTAAATTGGGGTCTCGAGATACGGACATCTATATACTTGGAACTTGTCCTTATGCGCATGTGTCAAGTCACGTTTTATCAACGACATTAATGAGGACATATTTAATTATTCTCATGTTCATCAAAATTTTAGAATAAAGTCCCTCGAAAATTGAAATTTTTTCTCAACTTCAAGGTACAGAATATAACTATCCACAAGAAAACATCGCAGAATGTAATTTTTTTTTGGCATAAAAAAAAATTCAAGAAGCAAAAAACGAGAACAAGTCGAACTATAATGTCTAGCTATAATAAGGTGCACAGATGATGAAGAAAACTCCACAAAAGAAGCACAAAATTAGCCAGTTATTGATTACGAGTTATCGAGCAATTTTGTAACGAAATTTACTTTAGTTTGTATGAATATAAATGGCTTAATGCGTCCAAGATTAATCAATATCTCGAAAAATGAACATAAAAATTTTTTTTCTTGAAATGTTGGGAAACTGTCCGTATCTCAAGACATTATATGTATGCCAAAGCAGAATTTTTTTTCCTCAGTTTGAAGTGTCCCTATATATCTCGTACAGTATATCGAATTGTCCGTATGTCGGGGACCAACATGAACTGTTTATCCTTGCTTTACGTTGCAGCTGTATGATCCCCACTCCAAGCCGTCGAGCAGGAAATCCAGCGACGCGTCAAGATCCGTGGTCGTCATCGTGACAGACAACAACAATGTCCGTCAGCACGAAACGCTCGATAGCAAGTGTGGCAACGACGTCGACGTCGACGACGACGATGACAACGAGGACGAACGTGGGGTAGCCACTGACATCTCGTTGCTGGACACGGCATATTTTTTGTCCCAGATCATCTTGTCGCTCACGATGGGGTACTTGGTCGACCTCACTGGCTCCACGACGACGTACATGGCGGCTTCTGCTGTTGCTGGCATCCTGAGCATTTACCTCGCTGCCAAAGTGCCTTTCACGACATCCCAACTCAGGAGTCTGATCAAGGAAGCCTAGGAGACACGAGAGAACATCACAAGAGCTTTTATCAGCCCAAAAAAAAAAACACACACACACACACACATAAATCAAGTGATTATCGTACACATATTAATTTATTATCATGTTTTGTGGACCATAATTCACCGCTTCGCCATATTTACGTTGATAAAGGGCTTGTATCTGCGAAAGTTACAACAGCAGACATGTCAAGATGCAAAAAAAAAAAAAAAATCAAGAAAATATTGCTGTGAACAAAGCTCTCATCATGATCACGTGGCGGTCTGTCATCCGTGAATTGAACCAAAAAATCTGTCAATATACCCTCAACTTCGAAAAAAATTTTTGTAATTGAAAGAAAAGATCTTTATAGACAGCCTCTGATTACTGTAATCAACTTCATTTCAGTATTGTTCAACATACATCGTGCCAACTTCGAAGAACATTAAAATCCTGTTGACATTGGAAGAGTTGAGGAATCTGCTCTCGTATAGGGAGTTTTTTTTTAAATTCCCATAGACTTCTTAAAAGTTAAACCATAGTTGAATAAATCTAAAGAGCGTAAAGAAAACTCTGTTTATTTCGTAAAGATCAATTCATACCTAGAGTCGATTTGAAAAACTTCTGTTGTATTAACTCTACTCAAAATTTTGAAGCAACCTTCATATTCAGCATGCCGACCAAAAATTAGTCAGAACAGAACACTTTCTTCGTTTTGGACAAATGTATCGAAGTTTGGGCATTACTTCTTGAACATTTCTTCCACTTTATTAAATATTCGATTGTGTTCCACCATTTTCAAGAGCTAAAAGCGTCTGCCTCTGCTGAAAGATTTTCCCCTGTTCATTAAGTTTGGATTAAATCGATTTTACATGTCATTCATGAACTTCAAGAGATGATTAAAAATGTTCAAAACGTGACAAGATCAACATTTCAGAAGGTGGGACCAATTTTCGGAAGGAGAACCAAAAGACAAAAAAAGAGGAAGACTGTCATGCTTAAATTTGGCATTCCAATTAATTTTGTTTTGTAAAACGATCAACGCACAAAACTTCCATTTCCCACGATGGAGTTTTGAATTCAGGCATTCAAGTTAAACTGGAATTTTTCATGGGATCTAACTATTAAAAGGTTCAATAACGCAAAATTTTAATAAAATTAAAGAAGTTCTCCTTTAATTTAACCAAATTTAAATCAGACAGATTACATTGGATGCATAAATACTGAACGATGACTTGCTGATCGTGATGGTCAAACGCGTGTGTTTCAAGGATCAATCCGCTCAAAATTGTATTGTTTGAAGTCCTCGTTGATTTGCGGTTATTGCACAAATTTTAGAAAAAAAAAAAAAAAAAAAAAAAAAAAAACGCACACACATAAATCAATTGATTATCGTACACATATTAATTTATTATCATGTTTTGTGGACCATAATTCACCGCTTCGCCATATGTACGTTGATAAAGGGCTTCTATCTGCGAAAGTTACAACAGCAGAAATGTCAAGATGCAAAAAAAAAAAAAATTCAAGAAAATATTGCTGTGAACAAAGCTCTCATCATGATCACGTGGCGGTCTGTCATCCGTGAATTGAACCAAAAAATCTGTCAATATACCTTCAACTTCGAAAAGAAAATTTTGTAATTGACAGAAAAGATCTTTAGACAGCCTCTGATTACTGTAATCAACTTCATTTCAGTATTGTTCAACATACATCGTGCCAACTTCGAAGAACATTTAAATCCTGTTAAATAATTTGGAAGAGTTGAGGAATCTGCTCTCGTAGGAAGTTTTTTTTTATTTTTTAATTCCCACAGACCTTTTAAAAGTTAAAACACAGTTGAATAAATCTAAAGAGCGTAAAGAAAACTCTGTTTATTTCGTAAAGATCAATTCATACCTGAGAGTCGATTTGAAAAACTTCTGTTGTATTAACTCTACTCAAAATTTTGAAGCAACCTTCATATTCAGCATGCCGACCGAAAATTAGTCAGAACAGAACACTTTCTTCGTTTTGGACAAATGTATCGAAGTTTGGGCATTACTTCTTGAACATTTCTTCTACTTTATTAAATATTCGATTGTGTTCCACCATTTTCAAGAGCTGAAAGCGTCTGCCTCTGCTGAAAGATTTTCCCCTGTTCATTAAGTTTGGATTAAATCGATTTTACATGTCATTCATGAACTTCAAGAGATGATTAATAATGTTCAAAACGTGACAAGATCAACATTTCAGGAGGTGGGACCAATTTTCGGAAGGAGGACCAAAAGACAAAATAAGAGGAAGACTGTCATGCTTAAATTTGGCATTCCAATTAATTTTGTTTTGTAAAACGATCAACGCACAAAACTTCCATTTCCCACGATGGAGTTTTGAAGTGAGGCATTCAAGTTAAACTGGAATTTTTATGGTATCTAACTACTGTAAAAGGTTCAATAACGCAAAATTTTAATAAAATTAAAGAAGTTCTCCTTTAATTTAACCAAATTTAAATCAGACAGATTACATTGAATGCATAAATACTGAACGATGACTTGCTGATCGTGATGGTCAAACGCGTGTGTTTCAAGGATCAATCCGCTCAAAATTGTATTGTTTGAAGTCCTCGTTGATTTGCGGTTATTGCACAAATTTTAGAAAAGAACCTTTGCCAAAATCATTTCCTCCTCCGATCGCGACCCGGTTATTTTTCTCGTCAGCTTTTCTAAAGGCTTACATCGCGATAAAACGAATCTGCTCGATTTTTTTTTTCATGCAGGAGCAGGCTGTTTTAACGATCTGAGTGAGATGAATTTGCGCAATTGTTTGGAATCGAGAGCTCACGGGATCATGCAGTGATATGGAATTTTGATGGGATTCCAAATTTGTGAAGACAAATATAAATTTGCAGGAAAAAGGAGAAATAAAACAAATCGCTTGGAAGCAACGAAATCCGTAGCACTTCATTCCGTCTCGAACGAATCGCCTCCATTAAATAAATAAATAAGCAGTAATCAACACATACAATCAAATAAGTGAGCAATCGAACAGCTATCAGA